CAGAGGGTCTCTGGGCTGTGGGTCTGTCAGGGTTTGCTCAGAGGGTCACTGCACTCACTGAGCGTCGGTGGCTCCCGAAGCTGGACCAGGGCTCTCTGTCTTTGGGCACTTGGCCACTGCCCTGCCCAGGAGCTGTTCCCCTGCTGGGTGCAAAGGGTCCTGCTGAAGAGTCTGTAGCAGCAGATTCTTCCTCTGCCCACCTGTTGTAGAAACAGTAGCCTTCCTCTGGTGTCCCTCTCCCGAAAGGACTCACTGCAGAGCTGGAAAGCCCCTGACCCTCTGTGTGCCCCTGAGACACAGCTGCTGCTGCTGCTGGGTGGAGAAATGGTGACACACATAAGTGGCTGATGCTTTGGTCAAGGTCATCATTAGGTGCAGGTGATGCACCAGAAGTAGCTTCTTTCCTTGATCTCAGTTTCTGGATTTCGAGATCCCGCTGTCCCTTCGGAAGTTTATCTATTTGCTGTGCTTTCAGAATCAGAGATGCTCCAAAGGTTCCTCGTAGAGCAGAAAAAAAGAACCTGATTAAAGAGGAAGAGAATGGATTATTTTAGCAGTGGGCTCCTTCCATAATCTGCATCACATAACACAAATCCAGGTGCTAATTTTCCATTGCTCTACAGGCATCTGGTAGACACCTTATACCTGTCAGATGAAAGCTGACTCCTGGATCTTAACACAACAGAGAGTGAACTATACATATATATGATCATTTATTTAGTATTGACAACTACTCAATTGCTGACCAGTGAAGAAAGAGACACAAAAGCTCACCAAGAGATGCAGTATTTGAAAATATTGAAATTCTATTTGTACTGCTAAAACAGGCTAAAGAAAGGATCTTAATTTGGTAGACAACAGGAGACTAGAAATTTTAAAAGTTCAGCTTTTGGATTTGCTCAGAAAGCAGCAACCAAAAGGTGTCCTACCTGCCCTTTGCAGGATAGAGAACTTATATAACTATATATTGTGTGCAGTGAGAGAGCACACATCCTCTCTCCATGTCATGTCAGCTTTGTGTGAAAACCAGTGTCTCCTTCAAAGCATCTTTTTATTAGGATTTGACCTTTACACAGATGGCCTCAACATGCATTTTAAAACAAACGTGGGGACTCTATGAAATGGCACTGAGAAAGCTGCTGTTGTCCCATCCTGCTGCTAAATGTAGGTATAAATTAGTGTGACAGGATTAAAAAGGCTGACAGGCCAGACTCAGAACAGAAAGGGCTTTTAAGGCAATGGATTCCTCAGGCTTGCACAAGCAGGAGTGGAGGAAGTCCCTTTGTGTGCCTGTGCTCAGGCTGGTCAGTCCCACAGTCTCAGCTCTGGTTGGGAGCCCAGAGCACAGCAAGGGCAGCCCAGGGACCTGCACAGACCTGCATCAGACTGGTGTGGCGTTCCCCTCAGCCTCCCTCTGTATCTTCTGGGCCAGCATGTGGACCAGACAGGAGGACAGAGAAGGGATGGAAAACTGTGTCTTCCATCCTGTGAACTGCTCTCACTTTCTCCTGCCCCTCCCACAGCCCTGCAGGGTCTGTTGGGTCTCTGCAGGTCCTGGCAGACCAGTCCTTCCACAGCTGGACAAATGCATCTGGTTTGTGTGTTGAAATCCTCCAGGAGACACAGAGCCCTCCCTTGCCACTGAACAAACATGAAATTCAGACCCCTTTCTTCTTGTCAGGCTTGAGGGTTTGAAAACTCCCTGCATTGCAGTTTGTGTCCCAGGAGTGCAGGGGCAGCTCTGAGCTGCAGAGGTGCAAAGCACTGCCAGATGTTTGAGCAGGGAAAGCCTGGAGCAGGCAGGGCACAGGCCAGACCCCCAGGGGGCTGTGGTATCTCAGGCCTGGCAGCCAGAACAGGAGGCAGGACTAAAAAGGAAGAACTGAGGAGAGCGAGGATTTTAACAAAACCTTGTAGGCAGAAACCAGAATGTCAAGGCTCTGTTTCTGAAGGAGTAGTTTCTGAAGGAGATGGTGAGCAGGCAGCATGCTGAGATGGACCATGGAATGGAACTGAAAATCCAGGATATTTTAGGAAAGGGTGGTTTTACCACAGCTGTGGTGGCACAGCTCAGTTGTAGCAGGAACTGGAGGGTGGACAGTCTGTGAACAGAGGACTCTGCAGAAAGTAATCTGCAGGACCTACATGAAGGAAAAGCAGTTCTCCAGCTTTGAAGACACCAAGATAAAATCCTTAAGCTCAGTAACCTGCTGAGGCAGAAAGGACCTTAATTGTGCTGGATTCCCGAGATGGAGATGTGAGTTCTCTAAGCACATGTTTGAGGCAGCTCTCAGTGAGAAGCTCAGGGTCAAAAATGACTCTTTGAATGAGGCCTGACAGGAAAACAAAACTCACACAGGAGCAAAACAGGCTGGAAAAGGGTGCCCTGCCTAGAAGACATGAGACCTTACTGAACTATGTGTTGTTTATTCTCATCTGAACTTATATAATGGAACACGAAGTCACAAGAGCATCTCAACTCAAATGGGGGAATAATAATAACAATATGAAGAAAAAGACTATCTAGTCTTTAAAAGGAACTTTTCAGACAAAGTTAAGGCTCAGTTCAAATGCCTTAAAGCACTTACAAAATCAGATACTAAAAATATTTTCCTGATTCTTGCAGTACCAGTGTGCTGCACTACTTCATGGCAATTAGGATGAGAAGGAAACTAGGAAGATAGTCAAACCAACTCAAATGGGTGTGCTTTCACTGTCCAAGCACAAATAAAGAATTTAAATAAATGGTGCAACTCAAACAAACTATATCTGCTTAAAGGATTAGTTAAGGTATTAAGTACCAAAAGTAGTAAGCTTCCCATATACATACATGGAAACAGAACCATTATGTTTTTCAAACCAATTTTTTTCAGCAACATATCAAAATAATTATCCCTCTCCAAATATCCATTCTCAGTTAAAGTTATCTTTAACATACCTGATTTGTTGCAGAGAGTAAAACTAAAATTCTGGATGCAGAAAATTTTTTCATACAGAAGCATGTTCTTAAATTTAGCTTAGCAATGGACTGCAAAGTACTTAATAACAGAATATGTTTTGCAACTCTCAAAGCTTACAGGAATATTTCAAAGACTTGCCTTCTAGTCTTGATCAGCTCAACCCCGTTCTGTTCACAAGAGTGAACAATTCCAGAGCAGATTTGTACTGGTAAACTTTGAAGCACCCCAGAAAGAAAGGTTTTCTCGTGGGAAAACAAGCAGTAGATATATAGTGACTTATCTGGGGTTATATAACTGAACAAATGGATGGTTTGTGAACTGGAAAGCTGAACCCAGGCCTGTGCCTCCCACACTGAATTATCCCTGTGCAACACGTGCCTGACACATCCCACATGGACACAGATGACTTTGTCCCTTTCTCCCATGCCCACAACCCCCCAAGGAACACGGAGAGGAGCCGTCCCCACCTGGGCAGGAGTGCAGTGGGCGGGGTGAGCAGGCACAGCAGGTAGAAGGTGGGCTCTGAGAGCTGCCTCTCCAGGATCCAGTAGGGGTTGGTGGGAGGGTTGCAGAGCAGGCACACGGCGTTGTAGATCAGGGAGAAGATGAGGTAGAAGCCCAGGCTGCACATCATGGCCACCAGCTGGGACAGGGTCTGGGGAGGGCACAAGAGACAGGGGGGACTGTGAGACCTGGCTCTGGGGGTAACACAGGGGGAGACACAGAGAGGGTGGAAAGAATTCATCCAACAGCCCATTTTACTGAAATGTGCAGTAGGAGAAACAGCCAGGAATGAACTTAGAAAACAACAGTGAGTTCAGTTCTCTGAGTAACACATCCTCATGTATTGAAGGATGCAAACATTGTGTTCTGTCCTGTCCAAAGGCACAGTACAAACAAATTCTGTGCACATGAAGGTGTTGTCCCGGGGCTAATAACAAATTCTGGCACATTGTGAAGTCTCAGTGCATCTGTTACTCACTCTCTGTGACCCAGAATTCAGGCAAATGACTCTGAAAGACAATGCCATGCCTACACAGGGTGCTGTGTTCCCAAAACCACAACAGTCCTGTGAGCAGGGTAGGGCAAACACATACCCAGGTTTTCATTTCCAGAGCCTGGTGCAAGAGAATGGTCAGGAGGGAGATGGTGTTGATGGGGTTTCCAAAGGAAAACACATCTATGTCAGAGTCCTTGTACACCTAGAAAACAGGCAGAGGCATTGTGAGGAACCCTGACCATTCAGAAGGGAATTTTCTACTTTTTAAGGAGGACAGGAGAATGAGAATATTAATGAGCCTATTACTTACCAAATAGGGGACAAAGAAGCAAATGAGGCTCTGATAGAAGGCATCCAGCATGGTGATAATAAAAGTTGACAGGTTGTATATCTGCAGGAGTTTACAGATAACAGTCATTAGGATGGGACACACATCCCTAGCCTGTCCTGAAGACATAATTGCTGCCTGTTTTTCTTCCATTCAGATACTGATTAGAGCTAACTGGTCTCCCTTCATGAGTAAATGCCTCATGAGCAGCTGATTAATCCAAAGGCTTATCTCTGAACAGACCTTTTCTCTGTGTTAGCTAAAGATAGACCTTAGGAACATTAACAGGTGTATTTCTGAACCTGAGAGGAGGAAAAAAATGTCAGGTTGCTTACTGATTTAAGGGTTTGTGTTTTCTTGTCACTTTTTGCTGTAATCTTTTTAATGAGCTTTTCTTTGGTAGGTTTAGTAGGTTCTTTAGTAGGCTGAGAGTGTTTGAAGCACCAAATCCGAGCCGAGTTTAACCAAGGGCCAGCTAAACTATTTTACCTTCATCTTTTACATCTTTTATCCTATTTTATTTATTTCTCCATAAGCCTTCACTGAGAATCTGTCTATATACAATGCATGTATATATGCACACACACACACACATGTATTTGCTCCACCATCTCTTCAGTGAACAAACCAATCACAGGGTGATTCCCTGGCATGTCACTTTATTTATTATAATGCAGCATGCTGGGATTGCTCCATACATTTAATGGCAGAATAAACCTTCCATTTACATTTTCTGACCATGACCCAGCACCAGCATCACTTCCAAGAAGCAACTTCAGCCATGTGTTCCAGCTCTTCTGACAGCTACAATTATGCCTTTTTTTAGTGGACATCAGTAAATTTGACACCATAAAATGGAAGATTTGGTTCCAAGTAAGTCTAAACTCCTTCACTCCTTCCCAAACCAAAAAACCTGTGGTCCTTTGGCTCATCAAGCAGCTGCTTCAGCAATCACAACATACCTCTGAATTTTGCCCATTCCTGTATAACTCGGGCAAACCTAGAAGTGTTTCTGCAGAAACATCTTTATCCAGGACTCCAAAGAGAATAGGGGGCACTGAGGTGAAGAAGAGGTTGAAGAAGATCATCTGCCAGTAATCAATCATGGTGCTGCCTGAGAAGCCACAGAAGAACTGGTACCAGAAGAGCAGGTTGACATAGCTCTGGGGAGGGGCAAAGACAAACCCAACAGCCTGTCAGAGCTGTGCTGCCCCTCCACATGCAGCATCCCATCCTTCATGCTGATGTGGTTCCATTTCTCTTTGGGCTGTGGGAGCCACAAAGCTGCAGCTTTCCTGTGGCCTCTTCCTCCCATCCCCTTTCTTTCCCCCCATTACACCTGATCTGGACCCTTTGCTGTCAGTGCACAGGGTCTGTGTCTCTCACAGTTCCACCCCCAAGGCTGGTGTAGGACACTGGGTACTGACAGAGCCTTTTAGGAACACCCTGCTTTGGTTAAAGGTGCTGCCAGCAGACAGCCCTGCACCTCCTTCCATAAAAAGAATATCTGAAGGCTCTGCTTCACAGCAATCCATTGTGATAGAGCTCTTTAAAAGCCATTAGGTTTCCTTAAGAACATATCAGAGAATAATTAAGTAAACTGTTTACAGCTCCGAGCACCAGATTTTAGAATCCTTGCATAAACTGGTTGTCCATGTGAAATCAAAGGGCTCCTGCTCCCTAATGCTACTGGGGAGATAATAGAAGAGCAGCATCCCATTCTGGAGAGATATTTCACACTGTAAATAAGTATCCTTTGAACTCTAAAAGGATGGCCAATCAGAAAAAGGGAAGTGTTCATTTCCACTACAAAATTTAACAGTGATAAGAAGTAATCCTTATTCAAAATTATTAAAAACCCTCCCAAAAACAGACACTTTGAATTCTAAGTAAACAGCCTTTCATGCTCAGAGTGTATTTCATGTCAAATGGACTTGTTTGCACAGTCTTGTAGAGACTGAATTACTGTCCTTTTCCCACTTTACATTATCCTTCAATGTGCAGCTCATTTGCATATACATTAAATTTTTAATAAAAATGCCAGGTATGACTGCATCATTACTTGCAAGTGGTTCCCATAAAAATTCAGAGGTTTCACAGGCTAGCAATTCCTAGTGCAGAGTCATCTTCTATATTCTAGCACTAATAATCTGATCTTCCTTATGCAAATTTTATTTTGAGGCTCATGGGTATTATTAATAAAGTTTCTTGAACTACCATATAAAGTTACCAAGCCTTGAGTCCTTTTCCCTCTGGAATAATGCTAGTTTCAAAATATATTTAAAGCCCATATTTTCCTCAGTGCTTTATGCAGCACATTGCTAAGAAAGAAGTGCCACATTATAAACCTGCAAAGTGAAGAAACACGAACTGTAGCGTCATAAAAAGTATGAGCATAACCTGTGAAAAACAAAATCAGGCCAAAAAACCCAACCCAGCCCTGGAATTAACCCTTACTAGGATGAAAACCTCCATAATTTGAATAATCTTACCACATTTTTGTAGAAAAAGTAAATCACCATCTTTGCCAGGCGAGAATAACACCAGTGTCCGTGGACAAGAAGCAGTTTTTTGAGGTGTTTAAATCGGGCTATTGCAAAGTCACTGGCCATCACTGCCTTTGGGAAGAGGAATAGAAGGTCATTTACAATATATCCTTTCCCCAGCCAATACAATGAAACTTGAACATGGACATTGAAATAATTTCCTACTTTTGCATATTGCAGGCAAAAAAACCCAAAAAACCAACCCTCAAGAAAATAGTTGGAACTTTCTCTGCAGAACTCTCCATTTAAGGAGCATGAGGAAGGGGGATGTGTGGGGAAGAATTCAGGGCAGAAGACAGTGGAAAAGAAAGAATCTACAAACCCTGGAAAAGCAGTAGCAGAGAGCATTCAGAAAGCAGATGCTAAGCTACCACTGGACAGGCATCTGCTAATTTTCCAGGCTTATGAGCAAACACACATCTGTCCATGCATGCTAATTGTTGGCTCAAAATGCTGTTTTTTGGCTGGACCCGTAATTATGAACTGCATGTTAATTTATGACAGTGATGATGCCAACTTGCATTTTTAAGATGACACTTGAGAGCACAGGGCAGCTCTGGAACTTATTAAGCAGCAGGAGAGCACATGACAGAAGAGGAATAGAACTAAACTGACAGGGTACCTGCATGCCTTCCTGACCAGATATTCCAATTCCAACGTCAGCTGCTTGAATCATGTTCACATCATTTGCACCATCACCTAGAATAGGAAGGGGGGGAACAACAGAAGTGTGAGAAAGGGTGTTTAATACATAGTGCCCCAATCAGAAGGAAATAATCTTAGCTATGCTGATTATTTTGGCCATTCTCTTCTACCTGCATCTTAATTAGGATAACTAATACTTAGCACCAAGTACTCATGACCTCTAGGCTCTGTCCTTGGTAGGAACACCCTCCCTCCCTTCCAGGAGCCCTGGTTCCAGCAGTGGGACCAGCTGGGTGGTGGATGGACACCCCGACACCGTCTCCATCTGCATCATGTGGTGTTTCTGCCTGGTGAGCTCCATATGCTCAGCAACACGCTCTGCAGCACCTACTTGAATCCTCCAAATTGTAGGATAAATTGCATTGCAGATGACAATGTAACAAGCCAATTTCAGGGGTTATTTTGCTCGTTTCAACTCACAGCAATATGTTAAATATATAACCAAATTTCCAGGGAAAGAACAGCCATGGTTGCCACTTGCAGTGTAGAAATGGTAAATCAGGTTACTGGAAAAGCAAGGTAGATGGAGCAGAAGGCTGAAAGCTTACATTTTGAACTACAAGGCAAAGTAAAAAAATTTAAAATACAACAGACCCCTCCTTTTCTGTTTGGTCCACAGAGGTGTATTTTTTAGTTGGAAGTCACAAAAATCAATTCTGCAAGGATTTTAGTGGCATTGCTTTCCAAAAGTGGGGCAGAGAACTCAAAACATTTCACATTATTTGGAGGTAAAAGGCAAATGAGTCACTGCTTAATACCACTCTGGGGATAACTCTGTTTTCACCAGCTGGGAAAATCTGACAGGAAAAGGGCTTTATAAAAAGACAAATTAGTGACTACTCTGGAGTGCTTTGCAGGCCCAAAGCAAGGACATTCCAGAGGGAACATGTACATGTGTTTGTACTGATGTGCATGAAAGGCACTGCTGGGAGATTCTGAATTTGGAGCACCTTCATCTTGTTTAAAGGGGGGCCAGATTTGCTTAGTGATAGATGAAGAAGGACTTTCATGTGTGTTTTGACAAGGAAAGATTATTCAATGCTGTTGCCTCCCTGTGTCTCTCTGAGGCACAAAAACTAGTGTGTAGGTATATTCCATACATTTCCCTAGCTCTTACAGGAGGAACCTGCTCCCCCTGTGTGCTGTGGGGTTCAGATGGGGTACCTATAGCCAGGGTCATCACTCGGAGCTGCCCCCGGAGCAGCCTGACCACCATGCCCTTCTGCAGGGGCGTGGAGCGGCAGCACAGCACCGAGCGGCAGCGCCGCGCCAGGGACACAAACTTCTCCTGCAGGCCCCCCTGGAAGATGAGGCTCAGCGTCTTCCCATCGATCACCAGCCCAAACTCGGCATTGGGAGCCTCCGGGGCCTCTGGGGCTGTTGGGATGATGCCGAAAATCTTCCTCCGCGGTTTGTTGCACTCGTAACTCTTCCTCACCTCTTCCAGGGTTAAATCCAGGAGAGATTCACAAGTTTCCTGTGAGGAAACAGGAGTGGGTTTAGCAATGGTTGTCTTCAGCTCCTTTTCCAGCTCAGCACCTCGCCAAGTGTGTGTTTGTATAACCATGCCAGTGGCTTTAAGCCTGTCAGACAAACATCAGGGAACACTGCCTGGGAAGTGCACTCGTTCATCTGGTCGGGGATTATTGCAGCAGCATCCTCAAATCCCCCTCTGGAAACACTGAGCATTTCATCAGCCAGTTGACTGAAGAAAGGAATTATTTTAAAAGAAAATAAAATAATCTTTACATCAGGAGGACATACGTGCATTGCAATGCTGAGAGTTCAGAAATTAAAAAGAAAATCCTTTTTTTTTTTTTTTAAGGAGATTGAAAAATCTGGTTCTGATATGAATGATGTGATATATTACAGCGTTTGCTTCCATCAGAAATAAACTGCAGTAGAGAAACAATCAAAATTATCCAGTAACTTTGAGAATTTGGCCTTTTCTAGGTCACATATCAGATGTGTATCAGAGTTAGGAACACAAATAAAAGTTCCTACTTTCCAGCACTCTGTCTTAAACACAAATTAAGTCCATCCCTCTCAGCAAATCTGTCTCATTTTGGTCCAAGTCGCTTTTTTTAGATGGAAACAACAGAATTGACTTAATATTAAATACAAACAGATTCAAGGAGAGCACTTTTGTCTTTCCCATACAGATCTTCTAAACTGGCACACCACTATCACAGAAAACCCTGAATGATCTTAAAGTTATTTTGCTGCTGCTTAGCACTGAAAATCCTCCTTCTGTGTATGGCACTGAGTACCTGAGGAGCTAATCATTCCTTTTTCTACCTTTTCTGTCAGCTTTATTGAGTGATGATTCAGTTCTAAAATGTTATTTTCACTTTATGTTGCATAAGGTACATGTGTAGGATGTTTGCAAGATTTAAATTACACTTAAGTGGGAGGTTCTGGAATCAAATGTCAGCATTCCTCTGACATCTAATAAAAATCCTGCATGCTCAAAACATCTAAAAAATATTGAAGAAGCATCATCTTTCTGTGAACAAACCAAAAATTGTAGTGGAAATTCCTAGTTTGCCTTGGCTTCTGTTGAAATGAATCCCCCAAGCTCCCTCCTTATGTTGCATCTTCCTGGAAGATATTTAATTGTCAGTGTTTGAATGAGCTGCTGGGCTCAGGGGTAAAGAGAAGGCCTTCCACTGACACCACTTCCAGAGTTAACTCTGGCACAGTGATCAGGTTAAACTTTGTAGGTGTTCTGTGTGTCCCTCACTGCTCTGGGAGCCCCTTCCAGAACCAGGCTCTGTCCTTGGCTGCATTTTGAAAGGGAGGCAACTAAACCTTGTCGTGGTGGAACTCCAGTGCCCAGTGACCCACTGGGATTCCCCACATGTGCTCAGCTTGTGCCTGGATCCAGAGGGTGCTGGGGGGAAGTGTTTCCTGGAGCCAGGGTGGTCTCACCTGCAGCATCACTTCCCTGGCACAAACCATCTCCTAATTTCCATCCTAAATGTATTCATTCTGCCTCCCGTTCAGGCAGATCCCCGTATCAAATGAAATTACACATTGAAGCAGGGAAAGCATTCCGTGCCAAATTCCATATCATCCTTGCGTGTTCCCCTATTTCCGTGACATTAAAAGAGACAGACATTTGCATAGGATTTGATTCTTTTTTGGAGAGCTACTAACTGCAGACAAAAGCAGTTAGAAAGTAGGCCATCTCACTGCTCTCTACAATTGCCTATCACAAGAAAAACAGTCAGTATTTTAACTATATTTAATTGATCCTCACAATAGCTTTATAGAGAAAGGCAAGCTCATATTGGGGACCCTGGTTCTGTGGGGAGAGAAACGGAGGCAACTGAGGCAGGGACTGCCCAGTGACAGAGGGAAGCTCCTCCTGCCCTCCCCAGCCTCCTGCCAGCCCATGGCAAGGCTGCTCCCATGGTGCCTCCTGACCCTGCCGAGGGGGCCATGACTGATGCGGCACAAAAGGGACGGAACAGCACTGGGGAAAGGGCAGCAGCTGCTCTGGGGGCACCTCAGGGGCTTCCAGGGCTCTGTGGCAAGTAAGAGGTCACCAGCAAGAAAATGCAAAAAGGGCAGTGGCACATCTTGGACCCTGCTTTTGGGTCAGGGCTGACCTCTCCTTACAAATGGATCTGGTTTAACCATAATGTTGGCCTCTCTCTCCCCTAAATCCATCTCCAAAGCCACCTGTCCCCCCTGGCTGCCTGGAGGGATGAGATGAAGGCCCTGCACAGGGGTGGCCATTCTGCTCTCTGGAATCAAGGCGTGGTTTTTCTGTGTTGCTCCACAACCACCAAAAGCCAGCGTGGCTTTTCTAAAGCCTTTGACTTGCACCATCCATGATGGCACTTACCATCTTGGGAAGGCAGGGCTGTGTTTGTTCTGTTCAGATGTGTCAGGAATAGCCCTGGATTGCACCCCAGACTGCTCACGGTGTGTCAGTGAGTCACAGGAGCTGACAGACAGCTTCAAGTGCTTATCCTCATTTTGGAGTGTTTGCTTTGCCTGCTGCCTGCCCTTCTTGTCACTCATGGAAATTCAAGGAGTATCTGTGCCCATCAACCACAACGTGCACCACCATGGAATGCCAAGGAAGTGACTGTGTTTTTAACTGACTCACCAGAACTATATTTAGGTGTTCAAGAAGGTGAAATTCTGCTTACACAGAAAGATACTGGATAAAATTGTTCACTAATAAATTTCTGGTTAAGTCTAATCCTGTTGGAGAACACACAACTAGAAAATTCTCAATTTAATTAGATCTACACCTGTAGACTTCTTCCTGGCTGACTCAAAGTACTTTCCAAATGTCTTCCAATAGGTATACTAGGGTTAAAATATCATTGTCACTGAAATTTCCATTGTAAGCTGAAAATCCAGATATCAATGTTATTAAGGAATTAGGCACTTAAACTGCATATTACCTTCTTTCTAAAGCTAGTAATTCAGGTAATAGCTAGTGATTCGGGCAATTTTAAAAAAGAATATTTTAATTTGGAAAAATTAGTGCATTCTAATTGAATGAAACTCTACATAAATGTCTTGTATTTCAATTCATCCTGTTATGTGTGGTCTACAGAGTTGCTGGCCTAATGCTATGGGGGGTTTTGCTGAATTTTTTGTGCTGAATGTGGTCTAAAGCAAAGCAGCACCAAACTGCAAGACACGAAAAAAGGGCAACGTAGCAAATTCTGTAGCGAATTCTTGTGCACCTTGTCTTTCTCTACCCACCTTATTTTCAGTGTTGATGGTGAAGACAGTGTCCCTCTGGTCCAGGAGCTTACAGGAGTATGCAATGTTCACTGCTGTTTCCTGCTTGTCTCCTGTCAACACCCAGATTTGTATCCCTGCTTCCCGAAGGGCCACGATAGTGTCAGGAACTCCATCCTGCAGCCGGTCCTCGATCCCTGTTGCTCCTGGGCAAACAAGAAAAGAAGAGAAACAGGTTTCTTTATTTGGAAATCACATTGCTGTTTTCTTGTTTAAGGAAAGCTCTTTGATTTCCAGTCATGCTCCTGAACTTATCAAGAGTTGAGCTAAGGTATTGTTCAGCAAATAAACACACAGGCACAAGATCTGCATTTGGATTTAGGTCTGAATGTGTCAGCAGTCAAGTTCTGGCTCTTCATTTTGCTCATTGGTAGAACAATGAATTTAATTTCTTCTTAATAATCCAAAATGACAGTGTGCTGGCAGAGGAATCACACCATATGCATTTTTAAAGTACTGCATTAAGTCCCATCAAAGCAACCAGAAAAGATGAACTTTGAGTATTTAAATGAATGCTGTCCCTATTGTCAAGTTAGATGTTTCAGCCATCAAAGGAGAAGAAACAGTACAGTACATTTTCTTTTTGAAAATGCACAAACTTAGGAGCAGATGCCAATGCTCATCCTGATGATGTTGGTAAATGACCCTCTGAGAGTTACAACACTCCTTGTCTCTTCCACTAGAGGTCAGTTTGAAGATGCTGTAACTGTAGTACATTAAAGATAGACATTGATTTAAGCTAAAAGAACATTTCTTGTAAATTAAAGTATGAAAGCACACAGAGCCTTAGGAGTTGGCAAAGGTAAGAGATTCTGACAAGATCTACATTACCTCTTATGTGTTCTGCTTATGGCATTTACCATTATTACTCTAATTTTTTAAATCACTGCAGAGATTATGAGAAGCCATAATGCTAATAGCTTGCAATCACAGAAATTCAGGATAACGAAATATGGGTGCAAATTGTACTCACAGAAAAATGAGACTGAGACAACTCCAAAAATCAAAGTCATAAAGAACAAAATGTTTGGAAACAAAATAAAATAGAAAGCACTGTAGTGCTTCATAATTTAATAGAATGGTGTTGTTAGATAAGATAGTGATGGATGATGCAGAAGTGCCAACGAATGTAAGTTTTAACATTAAACATCTTTCTACAAAGTGCAGAAAGCAAACTCACCAATGCAACAACAGGAATTCACTGGCAAAATGCCCAGTTTAAGCTTAATGTTTAAGTTACTGGTTTTTATAACACAGTTCAATTACCAAAATTCCCTTGGAACTTGTGCTCGAAACTGAAGTTAATTTATAGCATATTATGGGTTTATCCAAGGACATGGACACATGATTGAATAGGGGTGGTTTCATTATCTGCTGTGTCAGCTGAGCCACAGTAACAGCTGATATGTGTGCTCTTTGCTCCTGGCACATGAGAGTTTCAGTGCACCTTTTCAGAGTTACTGCTGCTTGAAATGCACAAGAACTTGTGTAGACACTGTCATTGGATTGTATCTCCCTGGCCTGCAGATTTCCAAACCTCAGAAGAAGACTTTTGGATATAAATTAGTATAAGCAGTTGTCTGTCTGATTGACAAGAATATCACAGGAGAGCCAGTGTTGCTTCACACAATGACAATTGTTATTTTTAGTACCCAGCAAGGTGAGTTTGGTCTCCAGGTGCTGGGCTGTCTCCATTAGCAGCTCCTCTCTGTTCTCAATGGCAGCTTCTGCCTCCCGACGAAAATTGGCCCATTTCTGAAAGTCATCTTCACTTAAGACCTGCATAACACAATTTAAATAGGGCTTATTTTAAATTTGAATAAGAGAGGAATGCCAACATTCAGGATCACAGTGACTTAACTCCTATCCAAGCTGGTAAAGTACCGTGTCATCTTTAAAATAACACAAACTTTTCCAAGAGAAAACTGCAAGAACTAGTAGTTTGTACAAATGGCTTTCAGCTGAGACTCAAAAACATGACCTCTAGAAGCTCTTGATCACACAGCCCTTAGCTGGGGCTCTGAACCAGAACACACAGTTTCTGAACGTTGATCTACATTTCTCCAGAGCTTGGATGTGACCTATTTTTGCATATAGACACCTTCTACATAAAAGTATGGCACTGAGGTGCACTAACCCAGGCTGAGGGCAAGATTTGTGAAAGCTGAATTCCAGGCAAAACAGAAGAAGGTTGGCTACTCTGCAGATTTTTTGTTTCTTACTTGGAAGCATTGTAGGGGAGGTCAGCTGGAGTTACCATTAGAGAAACAGAAATAAATGTTTTGAGACTGACTAAAAATCCATCATCTGGTCACATTGAAGAAAAAGGGGAAAAAAAGAGCAGCTGGTCTGGCTGGTTCTCTGAAGCAGAAAGAATTATAACCATTATATGTTTCTAGTAAATCTATTGACACATAGAGAGATAAGCTGTAAACAACACTAGGCTGGTGCTCTCCCACCTTCTTAGCTATGCACAGAGTTCTCAGTCCATCACGGGCGTAGAGGTCCAGGTGTTTCTGTGTTTTTTCTTTTATTCTTTTTATTCTCTTCTCAGCTAAAACACAAGGAAAAGATTCTGTATTTTAAGTATTTAGATCATTTCAGATCTAATGGCCTAAGGTTAAGAAACAGTGGGCTTTAGAGAAAAGTGGGTTCCAGTGTAACAGAAATTTCTTTAAAAGCTCAAAACTGTTGTCTGTGCAGAAGCTGAAGGCTTGCTAAAGATCTTTGTTTCCTTTAGGATAAAGTTACTTGTTTTTGTTTGTTTGTTAATGTTACAGCAATCTTGCTGACAAGCTGAAAAATAATGGTCAGGCCCTTCTGACAGTATTACTGCAGAGTACACAATCCACACGGGTTAGCACTGCCAGGGAATTTTAATTAGCCCGTTCCATGTTCTAAGCAATACTGAGGTTAAATAAATACCTCTGTTCTGATCTGCAAGCATAACACTAGGGGAAGCTTATTCTTTTTTTTTTATACTTCTAATGGCTAGATATAATATTTCATGCAGAAAAGAGAGCTGAATTCCCCTTTGCAGGAGACACAACAGAAACATCTCCTTGGCCCGTTACCTCCAGCAGAGTCTTCCAGCAAGTCCATGATGACCGAGTCAGCGCCTTTGGTGTAGACAACAATCTCCTTGGTGAGGGGGTGTCTCACCACCACAGACATCCTTTTCCTGACGGAGTCGAAGCCCAGGGTGTGCAGGATGTCGAAGGTGAGCAGGGTGCCCTGGGGCAGGCGCACTGTCACCCTCTCGGGGGTGCGGGACACCAGGCTGAAGCTGTAGGCCTGGGCCGCGTGCACCAGGGCGGCCTCGTCAGGGCTCTCGGCCTCGTAGCACAAGGCCGGGGGCAGAGAGCTGCTGCTCACAGACTGGAACACCTCCTCCAGGGAGGCAGGGCCCATGTCCGTGCTGTCACCACTGTCACGTCTGTCACCGCTGTCACCACTGTCACCTCTGTCCCCTCTGTCACCACTGCCCAGGGCAGGGAGAGGCTCCTCGGGGCCCCTCGCGCCAAAACTCGCACCCAGCTCAGAGCTGGACTGGGATGAGGAGAAGGACTGGCTGAGGCTTGCTAACTTTAGCCTTTGAAATATCTGATGAATCTTCTCCAGGGTGATTCCCGGAGGTTTTATTGGTGGTGGAATCGTGACCTAGAAATATGAGAAAACCTGTGGTTAAAAATAAATTAAGGTGAACTACATCATCATCATGGCCAGGCTTCATGAACGAAGATTTGGGAAAGGCCCTAACCACATTTGTTACAAGCTCACTGGTGGCTTATGAGGCCAATACGAGACAGACATGTCCGATTGCAAAAGGCACGGCAGAAAGCCTCCTTAGGTGGTATATTCTGCAAGACACAATTCTTTCTGCTTGTCTTTTCTCCTCGAGAGTGACCCTGCGCGTGTTCTCAGAGGAAACAGCAGTGTTATAGATGGTGTGTCTCCAGACCTCCCGACTGGAGGCCAGAGTAGACCAGTTATGGTGATCAATATGGCCAAGAGGTGAACTACAAGATACTTCTCAAAACTTCAGTATATTTTTCTCTATCTAAATGACAATAATTATGAAAGAAACTTTCTCCCCAGCCCCCTATTTAACTGTGGGGGGAGAATTCACCAGAGGAGTCATAGGTGAGGTGGCATCCAAATTTGATGGTGATTTGTGTCTCTGCCTCTGAAGCAGAGATGCAGTCGAGCCCCTTGGAGTTCTGTCAGTGGCCTGGCAGATCAGAGAAAACCCAGTATATTCCACATACTTCTTATAGCACAGATAATATAAAATCTAAAGGAAAAGGTGCAGATTCTGTGGTAGACATAACTATTCATCAACTTTAAAAAGCCTTGTTAGAGAGGAATACAAAGGCAGAGAAACAGTAAAAGGAAAAAGAAACGGTAAAGAAACGAGAGGAGAGCTCCCAAACAAACCATTTTTCACCATTTCAGCTTTCACTGAACATTGCTCCATGTTGTTAAATGGGAGCATAATCAATTTTCCTCATATACTTGAAGTCAGATTACCCGTTGTCTTGGCTCGGTGGCTGTGGACACCAGCACTGTGTTGCAGATGGCAAGGGCAAGAAAAAAGTCAGCAAAGACTGTGGAAGTTCTCGTAGGAATAAAAGGAGAAAGGCTTTCAGCCTGGAGTGCAGCTTCTCTCACCCTCCTCAGCAGCCTGCTGTCGGGAGTCACATCCTTCTCCTGCAAGAGAAATTACTTAGTGAGGATTATTCCCACTTCCCCTTGGCCTCAAGGAACAACTGGAAGCTTGATAGACCTCTTGCCTCTTATTGAATTTACACCTAGAATTATGTAAGGTAAATGTCTTTTGTACTTTACTTCTAGGGAAAAAAAGATGTATTTCTGAAAGCTGCATAGCTAGAAAATTAGAAGGAAATGAATCTTGAAATAGAAGAAGATTTCGGAATTTTTTTCTTTTGAGATTTACTAAAAATCAAGAATAATCTATACTGTATCCCCCAACTTTGAAACTGCTGACTTCTGAATTAAAGGGCATTCCAGATGGAAGTATACTTGGGATCTTCCATTTCAATGTGGAAGCTGATCATTATTTCAACAGAGAATATTTTGTGCTTATGGCTTAGTTACAGCAGCATCACTTTTTGTTTCCAGAGCAATTTCATTTTGCACCCAGAAAGAGAAGCTGCCTCAAACTGTTCTTCCTCAATTCTTACAATAAATAAATAAATACATACTTGTACCTGAAATGTTTCTGTAATTTTACTACCACTCTCTTTCTAATAAAACCTAATTTTGCAGGCCAAACTACTTAAGAGTGTCACTTATCTACAATTTAATTTGGTGAAGGGCTATGGGAGTATTACTTTTAATGGAAATTTCATGTTAGCAGAATCTGGTTTGGATTTAATTCAGGGCCATATTTAACAAGGACTTCCAAATTTAAAAGACAACTTCCTGTGAGCCAACAGTTTTGGATGTCTTCTTTGAGGAACCGCCAAATTACTGAGCTGCTTTCTAGTTCATCCCAGCTCTTCTCCTCTCTTCGTTCAGTCTGGCACAGTTTTCCCTGGTTCTGTAAAATTCCAGCAAAGTCCCCCAGCCCCCTTCAGGGCTGGGCTGGGCTGGATGTGCTGCACTGGAACTCCTGCTTGCTGCAGTGAGGAGTGCTTCTTAAATAATCCTAATAATTGCAAGGAAATCCACTGCTCATTTTGCAGCTCAGCTGAAATCCAAAGCTGGAACAAGGTTTGCACTTTCCCTGCTGTGGAAGGCTCTGGTTCTTCTGGTTCAGTGTTTTTATGCTTTTTTGTTTCACACACAAGAAAATGTTTGCAGTCCTTTCTTTAGCAAACTAATATGTGCTAAGGATAAGCCTGATTTTTTAGTTGTCTTCTCAGATCTCTTAAAAGGAATCAGAGACTGATAATAATAATAATAATTTAAACATGTCAATATTTATCAGAAGAATTTTTCTCCTTTTTTTTTCTCCACATTCAATGAAAACAAGGCTGACCTGAATTTCCAGCCTGAAAATGTATAAAAAAACTCTAAGCAAACAAAAAAGAAAGCAAAATAAGACAGCACTAATGATGCTGATCAATTAAATTTACCACCTTTTCTATGTTAGCAATTTTGTTAGTGAAAATGTTGATGCTATAAGATGGCTGGTGCCATTCAGTTTTTAAGATTTCCTCATTAACTTGATAGCATTTTTTCTACTTGGTGGCATTAAAATCTGATGACAATAGGACAATTGAAAGCTTCATGAAACGTTTCTAATAGCAAGGCACTACTTATTGGAACTATTAAATCTAGAAGGAAATGTGCTGTCACTGTCTTAGTTCATAAAAACCCCTTAAGGTAGAGAGAGTAAATGTTAATTCTCTATCTTGTTCCATTGTTCAAAGATGGATTTTTCTTCAGAACCTCTGACTGCTGACATCCACACAGGCCCACAAACACTCTCTGAATACCTGGAATTCTCAGGATGCTCCAAATTTGGAGCAAAGTACAAATGCATCAGACAAGGAGATACAAGTTCCAAAGGGCAGGAACCAAAGAGATACAGAGAAATTTATTATCCCCATTTTATTAATAGGGGATTGGCATGGCAGGTAAAGAAGGATGCTCCTATGTGTCATTTAAAGGACATCAACATACAGGACAGCCTCTGGGCAGTATTTAATTGTCTCCTTTTTTACTACATCTTCAGATTTGTCATAGGGGTCAAACGATTTATCCAGATAGAGTGACACCTATGAGTCCATGGCAGCAACTTAATCTTCCTCTGCAAAAGAGATATTTGATACCATTTCCTCAGATATTGCTTTTACAGTGGAAAAAAAAGGTTTATTTATAGAAGAAAGTGAAGAGGTCTGTCAGTAAAAAATCTAATTGGGAAATATACTGGCAAGAAATTTCTTTATCAAACTTCAAAAGTCATGACCTCTAAGAAGTTCTCAAAAGTCACAAGTCATGGGTTCTCAAGAATCCATGGAGATGTTCTCAACATCTCATGAGGATTGGGCTGGAAAATCCTGGGACAGCAAGTCCCATATTCCAAGAACAGGAAGAGTTCTGGCTGATATCTACTATATGACAGAGGAATTGAATAAGGTAAGTATGATCTTATAATGAACAACAACTGCAGAAAATGAAGTTCTGAGAATTTTGTATTTGTTAGCCTTTTTTTTAAAGTCAAGATTTGGAAGGGTTTTCCAGGCCTTTAATTTTAATTGGAATTCTAATTTTGAAAGTGTGTGACCTTCTCTTACTGTTCACAAAAGCCTTGTCTGAGATGCCTGTTAAAAAACCTTCCAAGAAGAATAATAATTCAGTCTGATTTTAATTAGGTTGTGTTAGACTTTGGGGAGTTTCAGATCTAAAGTCCAGCAGAGTCTGCTCCCCCCTGACTGCACTCTGCACGCTCCAAAGCTTTGGCTCCTCTTCCCTCCTGTATCCCCAACAGGGATCTCCCTGCTGGACACCCCGTGCCAAAGGGGGGCTGGAAGGGTGGCTGGGCTGGGTGGCCCAGCCTGGTACTCACGATGGTGCTGCTGAAGGCCACCTGGGACTGGCTGCTGTCCCTCCTGCCCAGGGACCTGCTCCTGGCGTGCCCCTGGACCCGCGCGCGGGCGCTCTGGCAGCGCCGCAGGGCTCCGGGGGGGCTCTGCTGGGCACAGGCTGCTCTCCCAACATTCGGGGCAGGGAGAGTGAAGTGTTGAAGTTTTGCAAAGTCCTCATCATCCAAATCCAGCTCTTTGTGGGTCTCCAGGCGCCTGGCTGGAAAAGACAAAATGAAAGCTCACCTCTTCTTCTGTTTTTTGGTTGGTTTGTTAGTTTTGCTTGTTTTTATTTTATGGTTTGTTTGCTTGTTTGTGAGTTTGTTTGGTTTTGGAGGTTTTTGTTTGTTTGCTTTGGTTTGTTTTTTTTTTTGCATTGCTTGGGAGGAATTCCTGGATCAGTTAAAAAACCTGAAACAAACTAAACCAAAGCAAAAACATCCCCAAAGCCAGCACCAGGAAAACCTCACTGTCCACTGCAGTTTCTGGCAACTCCCACTGTTTATTATTGCAAGAAAACAAAAGTGTGTTTCCAAAGCAATCTGTCACTTTTATGGACTTCTGCTAACGCTTGGTCTCTTCAGCTGCAGTTTGCAGTTGACTGGACCAGGAGAGTGAAATATGGTAGTTCACAAATTTGCTAATGTTTTCAGTCACAGAACACAAACATCTTTTTTGGCAGCTGCCTGCCAGCTTAATAAAGTCCTTTCCACTGTGTGGAGTGAGAAAGCAGCGACCAAAGAGGGGCCTGAGTGACTCAGAGCCCTGAGTGCCAAGAGCCCTTGGAGAGGGACCATGGGCAGAGCCCACCAGGGCTTGGTGGCTGTGCCCTCCCTGTCACACAGTGTGTTAATTACTGCTGGACCCACTGAGCTTAATTACTATCAGTTTGGGAGCTTATCAAAGGCTGACTGGTGTTCCTCCAGAAATGAAAGAGGAAATGTTCTCTTTGCATGCTCAAGTGGGTACTGAATGCAGGGCAGAGCCTGAGGTGGAAAACCTTTCCCATCTGACTTCTGAACAATTTAAAACACCTTGACTCTCATGAATCTCTGTAACAGGAGTCCCTCACAAAACGGAGACAAATGCACAAAGCTCTATGTTCAATCAGAAGGCTCAGCAGGTTTAAGTATTAATATTTAAATTAATAGCATTTAATTGCTCAGAGAAAAAAAAGCTAGAATAAAAAAGCATCTCTCACCATTTTCCTGATGGGAAAACTCAATTCCGTCAACAGTACAGCGTCGAAATACCATTTTGTTTTCTGTTAGTGTCCCAGTTTTGTCTGAGAAGATACACTGGATTTGTCCGAGATCTTCAGTAATATTTAGGGCACGGCACTGGATGGGCAAATCTGCTGCTTCATCATACAGGTCAATGTCATTGTGAATTAAGAAGACTTGGCCCAATTTAACCAACTCAATTGACACATAGAGAGAAATGGGGATTAAAGTCTGAAAGAGAGTTGAAATTCTCAGTAAGGGGTGAGACAAGTCTTTCTGCTTTCTGTCAGCAATGTCCTGGCACAGGCACACTAATGATTCCCAAAGAAACATTTCTTCCTAGAGACATAGTGTAGCACAGATGAATAACAGTTCAGGAGGAAAAAAACCCTGCACAAAATAGCAATGGATAAACAGAGACAATAAGTGGCAAATTTAAGACAGAATTTCTGTAATACCAAATTCTAAGCTGTGTCTCTCAGAGGATGCCCTCACAAAGCAGGTTTTCTGGACATAGGACCGTGCTTGCCCTTACCCTTCTGAAGCTCTGAAGGGTTGCACCAGCTCAGACTGAGGGCAGAAAAGTTTCACAAACCATTACTTGGCACACACTTCCCACCCACGAGCTTCCTTGCCCTGAAATAATAATGAATTCTTAAGATGCACAGATATTCTGTTTCAGTAATGAAGAATAATCCCCCAAGGAATCTCTGAGCAGCTCTGAAAGTTATTTTCACATTTCACTTGTATTAAAGAAATTCTGTCCACTTAAATCTCAGCAGTGACATCAAGAAATCTGAAAAGTAAATGTGGTTTTTTTCCCTCAACCAACAAAATGTTCTCCCCCAATTAGGTTTAATCAGACTCAGATATACAAGTATCCTACTTCTAATTTAGCTTCCTTCCTAGACCAGCTGAACCATAACTAGTTATTATTTCCCACTGGCAAAAATGACAATTTTTGTTTCACTGTTTTCCTGAGATGTTAAGTGGAATTATTATTTTTGAATTCTGTATATAGGCAAAAAAAATAATCTGACATTTGGATGTAAACATCCTCTTTATTGCATCTGCTAGAAATTCTGGAGTGAAAGATAAAATACATGTCTTTCCTATCTATATTCTTGTGGGGTTTCAACAGCAAGAAAGAAAAATCTGCAGTTAGAAAGAAGGAATAAAGAAAAAGAAGATACATTATTTCACACTTGGATGGTTTGAAATACAGCAATTTTTTCAAATAGCATTAAGAAGATACTGCACAGCTATTAGTTAACATTAATTGTTCATTAGTGAATGTACTTAATTTTGAAAAGCTTCTTCCTTGGAGGTAACAGAGAGGTTTTTGTCTTTTACCTGCAGCAGGATTATCATTGTCAGGAACGTGTAGAAACCAGCAAGGGCTGGAGACAGAAAATTGCCATATTCGTCTGGGACATCGTAAGGGGGGTGCTCCAAGAAGGTTCCAGTCCAAATGCCATGTCCTGTGGGAACGAGGGACAGACTGAAATGGGCTGAGCCCCGAGGGGATGGACAGAGCTGCTGGGATGTGCAGGTGTGGAACTGCCCTGGTCACTGCACAGAGAGAACATTTCCAGAGCAAGAGGTCTGAGCAGTGGCCAGACCTTGGGAGGACACAGAGCACATGCAGAGCTCTGGAGCACACACATGAGGGATGTGCTGGGGAGAAATAAGCAGTCAGGGATATTTGCATTCCCATCAGCAGGAGTCCCCCAGGGCTCTCAGCTCTGCACAGACCTTTCCTATTCTCCATCTTGCTGCTGGAGGCTCCATCTCCACCTCCTGTCTATAAAAATCCTCAGTGCTGAAGACTTCTTTCCAACTGAAAGAAACCTTAGAACCTTTATGGAGACCAACTAAAATATTTCTTATCCTTCCTGACCACTCTCAATTTCAATGTGTCTTAGAGTTGACAAACCCTCTATAATTCAGTCTGGGCAACTCATTTTTACATTCCCTTCAATCAAATCCTATCCCAAACTGCTTCTTGCCGTGTCTTAAACACCAGTAGACATCTGCTACAACAACAAAGCCTCTGTTTCAGGACTCAACAACATTCCATCATGATTGCTTTACCACTTTTCATCCTGCCCTTATGGAAATAAACTTTGCTCAAAGAGGTTACTAAATATACAATATCAGAAACTAAATGTACCACAATCAGAAATGCAGAGCCAAGGCAAACAACTGGATTTCCCTCTTTGCATCATTGCTCCAGATGCCAAAAGTCTCAGTTAGTCCCCTTCACATACCCAGCTCTGATCAAACTCCCATTAGCACCACATAAGAAAGCAGTTGTTTTGCAGCATCTGCCCACTGAAATGCTGCCAAAGATATTATTGCAGCAATGCTTTCTGGCTGCTAGAGACCAGAGTCACATCTGAGCAAGGACAACTCTGCTCTACAAGTCACTTCTTACCCCAATTTATCACTGTGTGCAAGAAATCCTGGTACCTGACCCCCCAGGGAAATTTCTGCCTGGAACCCCACGTTCAGACAAGGATGCACAGCAAGAACTCATGGTGGAGCCTCGGGACATTTTGGATGGATGAAAGCTAATGGGCTTGGTACTGTTTCACATGTTTCACTTAAACTAACAACATTTTGTTTCTTTTTTTTTTTTTTTTAACCCAAGCAGATAAGCTGTTTTTCAAATGCTGATTTTTTCATCTGAGACTACTTCAAACCTTAAATTGAAGGACTTCATTACTCAAGGGCCCCTACACAACAGACAAAGGCAAGTCTCTAAATCTACATGACAGCAGCCAGGGAACAAGGAAAATAAAGTCTCTCTCTCCCTCACACAGAGCTCAGTTGTCAAGCTGAAATCCCATTTCGGTGCCAAAAAAGCCCACTGTGACATGAAGCAGTAAAATTAAAGAAGTGATTAAGTCAGTTCAATTGTTCATCTGCTTTGGATGGCTCCTACTTTCAGTGGTATTACACTGAGCACTGGCTGTGTGTCCCATCACATACCTCCAGGGCAGGTGCAGGAAAACTTGGCAGAACCACATGATGTGACTTTGTCACTAAATCAGAGCAGCAGCACTAAGCGAGTTGTCACCGAGACAAAATCCATTAAAAAGAAAAGGGGCTCATGGGAGCCCCTGTTATCTCCTTAAAGCAGTGACCCATTCAAAGGGCAGTGGATTTAAAATCTGGTCCTTCCCTCAGAATGATGAGATCCTATTAATTCTGGCCTGCCTGAGACAGGTTGCAACCAGAGCTGGAAGGAAGCAGGTGAGGAAGATGTTTTTGAGATTAGCAATCCAGCAAACTCCAGTCAGCTAACCCTGGGTGCTGTATTCACATGTGCTCACCTGCAAGGACCCCAGAAAAGTACAGGCTATTCCCACCTAAACAATGATTCCATCTCACAGCCTGCTCAAATTTGTCATTTTAACTCATCTGTTGGACAGACCAAGACACCCAAAGCCCCCGGGAGCGTTCAGCTCTGGATCCCACTCGTGTCAGTAAGAGCAATTTTAACACCACTTAGAAAAAAGCAATGAAACAGAAGAAGATTTTTGTCATTGCTTCCTACCTACAGCTCCAACGAGGCACATCACAAACAGGAGCCCCACACACAGGAAAATGTCCACGTTCATCCTGCGCTCGATGCGGCTGCGCTTGTACCGGGGGCCGTTGTTGTTCAACATGGCCTTGGTCTCGTGCCCTTCAAAACACAGAGCAGGGTCAGCAGGTTTGGGGAACATTCTGGAGTTTGGTTTGCCTTTTTCTAAAGTATTTCTCTCCCAGAATGAGAGCAGGATGACTAATGTTAATCCAACTCCAGTTTCACTCAGAACTTTTATTGCCCCTCTTCCCATTTGCCTGAGTGCATCAGAGACTAAATCCAGAGAGTATATCAGAGACAAAAGGCCTCCATTACACTGCAGATTTCAGCTGTCATGTACATTTTGCTCTCCCAATGAGAGAGCCAAATCTCCATAAGAATAAAAGGAAAATGAACAATAATATTATGTTTTTGTATTTTACAAACAAATTGCTTAGGTGTTACACAGATTCCTGAAACCTACATTTGAGAATTTTGCAGCAGCTATTTAAAATCCACTAGACACATTTCACATATTGACTTAAATAAAATTCAAGAAGCAGTGAAAGACACTAATGTTATTTAGCTTTTCACTATGTGGTTGTAAAGTGCTAACAAAACAGTAGGATGAGAAATTAAAAAACCCCCATCCCTTAAACTTACTGAATTAGAATTGAGTTGGTTTATTTGTAATGGAAAAAGAGGAGTGCTGTAAGAAGTGAAGAAGTCGAAATTGCTTTTTTCAATTCCATTAATATTATCTAAACTGTGGCTCCACAATTGGGATGTCTGGACACCATCTGTTGCTATATTAAATGGTATCTTTTATGTTTATTTCTACAGTCTTTTTCCCTGAAAATATAGACCCCTCAGACTCGTGGTTAGTTGTCATGTGTATGTGCATGGTGTGTGTGAGAGGGGCTGTTTTCCAAGCTGCCTTTCAGCTTTCTCTGGGGAAGTGATTTAAACCCAAAGCTGGGGGTCAGGTGCAATTCCATCACACCTGCTGGATTCAGTCCAGCTTTACATCAATGGTTATTAATTAAGGCAGAGAGCAGGAGAGAAAATGAGTCTCCAGCCTTATGTTCAGGATGTTCACCCAAGAGCTGGGACTGCTGCCCTGCTGTTCCAGTGAGTCTGTAATTATTTACACAGCCTAGAGCCTGTTGGTGGGCCCAGCCCTTGCTGCCCCTGCTCCTTCCTGTGCAGCTCGTGTGGACACAGTTCCCAGTGTTCCTGGGCCACAGTTCCCAGTGTTCCTGGGGCAGCAGGAGGGGGGTGTTCACTCCCAGACAGGCAGAACTGAGACCAGACCCCAGGTCTGCCCTTCTGTGAGCAAATGCTCCAAGCACTGAGCTGCACGGAAGAGGAGGGCACTGCCCTTGCACTTCTGTCCCTCCAGAGCCGTGTGAACCTTGTGCCTCACTTCTCTGTCGTGTCAGGTTTAATGGAATGTTTTGTGCTGAAGACAAAACAAGCCAAACCCCTCAAATTCCTCCCAGAAAATACTCAAGGAAATGTTGATGGATTTATTTCACGAAGAAAATGCGAAGGGCTTTCTTTCCAAATATCAGTGCTACCATTCCTTTGCACTTCAGCTGACCATCAGGAGGACACTTCTGCAGCATAGATATCACCTTGCAAGGGACAGACAATCAGAAATATGAGGAATAAATTAATTTGTTCTCCTCTAACCCTCACAGTTTTCTTTTCTGTGCAACACAGCACCTCACCTACCAGCCTACTAAAACCTTGTCTCTCTGTTTCTAGATGCTGATGGGCTCATCTAAAACTTCTTTCTGGTACTTTATTATGTGAAAAGCCTATAATTCTTGCTGCTGTCCCCATCACAATGAGAAAACCACATTGGCTGTGGCTCTGTGATGAGGTTTGTGTGCTTTAGTGCTGCTGCTTTGTGCAGAACCATTTGGGTGGCCATGAGGAGTGTAACCCTCCTGGGGTCAGATGAGAAGTGCACAGGCCAAGCAATTGCACTAAGTGATGGTTGTGCTCTTCACAAAGGCTTCCATCAGAAAGAAAGTTTGAGGAGTAATAGAGTTATAAAAATGGAAAATGTGCCCTCTTATAATGTGACTGATCTTGACTGTTCAGAAAAGGTCACAGACCATGATTAAAAGCCAGAGTATAATCAATGTCAAAGAACCCTGGAAATGAAGCTGGTACTGACTCAAGCCAGTCTAATTTTAGGAAAAAAAGAATAAACTTTTCTGCTGACATGAACAATGAGATGTCAGTTGGGAATTGAATTGAACACTCACTCAGACCAAAGCCACCATGTCATGGGAACACCTTCAGAACTCCAGCCTTTGCTACCAGCAGCTTAAGCAGCATAAACAGACATCCACATGAGGATCTGTGCTGGTGGTCAAGGAACTTAATGGGAGATCTTAACTAAACAGAAGAAAAATAGGAATTGCAACAGGAGAAGAGGTGACAAGCTACTCCAATTCTATAGGGAATGATCCCTACTGAGGTTGTTATGTAATGGTTACATCCAAAAAATGAGGGCTGAGCTCAGCTCTGGCTTTCCTCCTCTCCCTGGCAGGCACCACCCTCACATGTGGTGTTCAGAGAGAGCAATGAAAGGCCCACAAAGACACAGCTACCTTGGAAACATAGGGGAGCTACAGACATTTAGATCCCAGTTCTGCAGTACTGAAATAAACAGTTGTCAGGTAAATTGTTCTGTGGATTGGAGATTAATCCAACCTAAATGACTCCTGCAAAGTTGGTGACTTCTATTTTCTTTTAGGTGGCTTGGCCTTGAAGCTGCTGATTAGACATGAAACAAGTGATATAACTCTACTGGAAAGACCAAATTAGCCCATGGGATTAATTGTTGTGTTTGAAGTGACCTCTGCTTAACCTACAAAGAAGAGGGTGGCTGATACCTCCTGTCTGGAGCAGAAGAGGGCACAGCTGGCAAAGCCAATGATAAATCATGCTCCCTGAGTCCCAGCAGTGGTGACAGTCCAGAGGTAAAAGATGCTGAGAGACAGATGAAGTGACCCCCTGCTGACCCTGGCACTGCTGCTCTTGATCTGAGCACTGGCATTGTCTTGGTCCAGGTCTGTGCTGCAGGAATTCATGGCTGCATGGACACCCTGTGTCTGTGTCAGCACAAACCTGTGCTGCTGCTGCCTCCCTGTCACCTCCAGCTGCTGCCTCCTGTGTGCTGGCACTGCCACAGATCAAATGGATGGATGACACTCACAGATGAAAGTCCCTTTTTGTTTTTTTCTGGGTAGATCTTCAGCTGCACCAGTTTCCACCCTGAGGAGCCAGTGAGACCTCCCTCAGGGCAGCTGGGTAGGTTTTATGACAGATGGAATTAGTGTCATAGTCAGAGCTGCAGAGCTGAGGGTTAAACTCACCTCAGCAATTCTTTACTTGTCTGGATATTTTTGCAAGATATTTGACATGCACAAGGATACTGGCACTTGCCAGAGACCCAGTGCAAGACTTGCTGGCTTTGGAGATGGATGAGTAATACCCTAAAAAAAAAGTTATGTAATTTTCTTCTGGACTCCCAGTTTTTAAAACAAAATGTTGACTTATGGTGCAATATTAGATTATACTTATTTCTTTAGGGATATTTACAGTGAAATTCTCAGTTTACCTGAACAGAAAGTATATCTTACCTGCATATATAACAATTCCCACTGCAACCTCAGTATTTCTGATTGTACATCCACGGAGCAAGAGGCTTTCAATGTTAAAACCAACCCGTTCATCATTTGGCTGCTCCCTAGAAGAAAGAATATCAAATGAAGCAATTCCTTTTTTTCTTCTAATAAAGTGTTAAACAAAATTTTTGTGTGCTTGTCTGTTATAAGCTGAAATCAAGTAAATTTGAAGGCCCTATTTTGCTTTTATTTCACTCAGCTTCAGTGAAGACTCCAGCAAGAAGTTGAGGGAAGAAGAAATCTGTCTTTAAAGACCACTTGCATCGTGTGTGTGTGTGAGATGAGGTCAACACAGAGCAAGTTTGGCTTTCCCTTGGTGCCTCATCAGGCAGATTCAGTATCTCATGAATGAAACCCAGACACATTATGTGACTTCTCACAGACACAGTTCTTTTGGAAAGCTGAGCAGGGTCTGCCTGCAGGTCATGGCTCAGACAAATACACCCACACCTTGCAAGAGCCTCTGTCTCTGTGTCAGCCACCAAAGGGCTTCTCATCTCTCTGACCCTCAGGTCACCTGAGCAGTCTCCAGGCTGAGAACTCTCCCTCAGTCTCACCCTGGATGCAAGACTTGTCATCTGGCTAAAGGTGTTCCCTCACACCCCAGACCCTTCTGCTCACAGCACCAACTGATGAAAGCACGAGGTCAGTGCTCCAGCAGGGAGGCAGTGAGTGATGTGCCTCTGAAAATAAATGCTCACACCAACCTCTGTCCAGCTTTTGTTGCCCACTCTGGCACCTTCCTCCTGAGTCCTTCACCAAGGCTGAGATTTTTTACTGAAGACACTCCATCTTGTTTTGTTATGTAAACATCAGGGTCAGAAAAGATTATTTTTTTCCAAGAATATGCATCTTTCTCTGCTTTGTGTTTGATGCCTGGCACTGCCTTCACCAGCAAACAGCAGTGTCCCTCAGATGGGGGCACAGCTGGGTGCCATTTCAGGGCTCATTCCAGCCCCATGTCCAAGTGCAGCTGCACAGGGTTACCTTACTTACACCAGACAAGGGAAAAGGTGTAGCTGCCAACAGCCTACACCTGCTAGAATTGTAAAAATTTATGCCAGAAATCTGTTTTTCTTGGAATCTACATTCAGCCTTGGTGAACTCATTTAATAGAAGCCTTCTTGCACCTCCCTGAACAGAATGTGCTCTGGTCAGGTGTGTCAGGTGGATGGCACTAAGTTCTTTCAGATCATTTTAGCAGAGGCAGTACTGCTGCTATTTTATAGCAAGGCAATAGAGCCTCAATAATTTATTAAGGGTTCTTGGAGAAAAAGGTAACCTGTTCCAAGTAATTTGTGTTTACAAAATAGCTCAAATCTCAGCAGACCAAAGATGGAAACTCCACTGACTGTTAGCAAGTAATTTTCCCTGGTAACTTCTTTCATCTACCCCTGAAGCAGGGAGAGAAAGGCAGCTAATTCCATATTTCAGCAAGCAGGTGAGATAATAGGCATTTACCAAAGAGATTTCTGTTACAGACTTTCAGTAGAGTTGAAGATTTTGAAGCCAGTGCTGGGTCCTAAGGGTGAGTATTTGTGTGTGTTTTCCTGTGACACATCCCCCACATTTCTATAATCTCAGTGCTCCTGGGCTGTATTACTCAGGCTAATTGGAAGGATTGCTTCAATTTAGATTAAACCCAGTGGTCCCAAAGCCAGCAAGAAGAGCCAGCAATCAATAGAAACCTGACCTCTCTGTGCCTGAGGAGATAATGCAGGAGAGGAGAAATGGCACTGCTGGGGGAGGCACCACCCTCACAGGGCAGGGACCCCAACCCAGCCCAAACAGGGTCAGTGCTGATGGGGGACACCCCTCGGGGTCACTGGGGCTGATCTGGCCCTTTGCAGCTGCTCCAGCTGCAGCTCTCCCTGCTGCCCTGCAGGGACAGGAACTCCAGTTCAGCTACAGGAACACTTAAACCCGGGCTATGGGTGGGATGTGGCACAGTCAGGCAGTTAAATGGTTTGCATAACATGGGGTAGGGATTTGGTCTGGGACAGTAGGACATTGGTGTGGGAATCAGCATGGACTGAGACCTCTGAAGAGCACCTTGGGAAACAGCTGCCCTGTGTTGGAGGGTGAGAGAGTTTTAGGACATGAGCCACGTCCTTACAGTCCATGGAAGGGCTTAAGTCTGCTGAATTTGCTGGTATAGATTTCCTTGTTATGCCTGTGCCAGAATTATTCAATGAAGAAACACTAAAAAAAGAGCACATTTTCGCAACAATCTAATACATTGGTTCAATAGGAATTTGCTTGTTTGCTTTTTCTAACTTTCTAACAAGAAGAAAATCCGGATTGCTTGTTAGTTCTTGGACACCTTGTCCCTGGGGCTGTAAAGATGAAGAAACTAGAGCCATGAAGCTGGGTACCTTTAAACATTAGGAAGGATTTATATCTAAAATCTAGCCTAGTCTAACCACTAGGTCAAATTTAAATGAGCTTATGTCTAAATTTTGAAGAGAGTTGAAGCCTTGTGAGAACAGCTTGTATGGAACAACCACAAACTCAGTGCCAAGCCTTGGTTCTGCCTCCCCTCAGAAAAGGAGTCCAGTCTGTGTTTTATACTGACTTCTTAATCCAGGAATAGGTAATAGTGACAACCATCAATATCCCCAAAATACTTCCTTCCATCCAGTTCCTCCAAGAGAAATACTGAAGTTCAGATACAAAATGCATTTACTGATGACAAACACTTACATGTAACCTTGGAACTTATTGAGGTCATTGTTTGGCATCTCACAGGTGATGGTGCTTTGGAAAAATTCGGGTTCAAACAAAGCATTCTGCAAGAGAAAATGAACTGAAAGTTAGTGTCAAATGCAATGAATACTTGAAAAGTCAGAGACCAAGAGAAGCCTAATTTAGACCCCCAAGGCTGGAGCACTTCCCTGGTCTATGAAAAAATGGTGGTTTTAAGCATTCAAACTGAATCTCAAAGTGATGTCAAACATACAATTTTTTTAATTTTAATTTACCTTACCTTCAGTTCCTATTAAAATGCTTGCTATACTCCTGTAAAAGATTCCTTTCTTTAAATTTTGTCGACCCTGTGTGCCTCAGAGCAGCCCCTGGCTGAGCTGCCACACACCCATGTGCCTGGAAAGGGAGTGTGGGGCAGGAGCTGCCTGGGAGGAGCAGGATCCATAGAATCATGGAATCACAGAATCATAGAATCAGCTGGGTTGGAAGGGACCTCTGAGATCATCCAGTCCAACCCTTGATCCAACCCCGCTGTGGTTCCCAGCCCATGGCACTGATGCCACATCCAGTCTGTCCTTAAAAACCTCCAGGGATGGAGAATCCACCCCTTCCCTGGGCAGCCCATTCCAATGGCTGAGCACCCTCTCTGCAAAGAAATTCTTTCTAACATCCAACCTAACCCTCCCCTGGCACAGCTTCAGACTGAGCCCTCTTGTCTTGCTGATGGTTGCCTGGGAAAAGAGACCAACCCCCCCCTGGCTCCCCCCTCCTGTCAGGGAGTTGCAGAGAGTGAGGAGGTCTCCCCTGAGCCTCCTCTTCTCCAGGCTGAGCCCCCCCAGCTCCCTCAGCCTCTCCTCACAGCACTTGTGCTCCAGTCCTTTCCTCAGCCTTGTTGCTCTTCTCTGGCCCTGCTCCAGCCCCTCAATGTCCTTCCTGAGCTCAGGGCCCAGAACTGGACACAGCACTCCAGGGGTGGCCTCACCAGCGCTGGGGAAGCCACGGCCCCTTGGGCAGAGGGGCCACGAGCCCTCCTCCAACCCCTGCAGAACTAATGCCCTCAGGAGCAGTGGTTGCAGAACTCACCCCCTCAGCAGCAGAGGCTGTGCCATGTGCTGGCAGAGCTGTGTCCCAGCCCAGCCCGTTCCCAGCTCTCACCTGCCCAGGCAGGCCCCTCACCACCCGCCGCTGCTTCAGGTTGGTCTCCCCGTCCAGGTTGGCGGTTTCCAGGTGGCAGATCCCGCTCTGGTCGGAGGAGTGGAGCAGCAGGATGTCAGCTGGGATGGTCTCGTTGCACTGCAGCTGCACAAAGTCCCCCACTCTCACGTCCTTCCAGCACCTCTCCACGTAAGCGCGTTCCTCCCTGGGGCACAAAAACCCGTCAGGGGAAGGGGGACACTGGGGGAGCAGGACATGAGGGTTGGGGGCTTCAGGAAGAGAAAACAGGGCTTGGGGGCTCATTGACTTTTTTTTTTAAAGGACACAGCCCAATAGCCAGAAATTAATGAGTCAGACACTTCCATAGTGTCACTTCACCACATGTCACATTCAAACCAAATCTTGGAATTAAATAATGGAACTAAAAAACACCCAACTACAACTGAAGTTCTCTTTCATTCTAGCATTAGCCCTGTAATCTCCACAGCAAAAGTTAGAACGTAGTTTAGACCAATAGAAGTATTTAAAGTATCTTATTGAAGAAATTCAGACACTTCACCAAAACTTATTAATTTTTTGACTGTGTGACTATGTCTCAGATACTTTCCAACATCAGCACATAGATCCTGAAAGAAGCAAAGTAATAGCTACACTTGTTTCAGGTCTTTACAGTTTGTAATTCTCAAGAGGGAGCTACAAAGCTTGAGTTTAGTGCACAGGAACAGCTTCAAAAGGTAGAAGACCTGACAAATGACCCTTAGTATTGAGCAAAAAAAAAAATGCAACCAGAGTCTAAGTTTAATGGAAAAGTTAAAGTAAGAAACAAAGAGCTTCTAAATGATTAAAAAAAAAAAAGGAGAAGAAAAAGAGCCTATGGGGTTCACGGAAATGAGATTACTATTTCATCAACAGAACAGTGCTCAGAGGTTCAGCAAATAGCAGACTTTTTTTTGGCATTATATTTTCAATAATTAATCCTTCAACTGCTCTTAACCATCTAAGCCAACCGAAAATTGCACAATAAGTTTTAAAATTAGTTAATGGGAAAACTGCTCTGGCAACAATGGCTTGGTTCCTCTAACTCTTTGAGAGGAAATTATTTTTTCAAAATGAATAATTAAATCATCTTATGCCTTGCTCAGTAAGAGGGAAAATGCTCATGATACTTTAGCAGACAGACACTAAAAGGTCTCTTGTAATGAGAGTCTTATTTTCTAAGTTTTTCATCATCCCCATCTATTGCCTGAAGAATCCTGTTGTTCATTTCAGTGTTTGTACCCAGAGAAGGGAGCAGTGACAGAGCAGATAAAGGGGTTTGCTCCAGTTCAAAGCACTTTTCCAAGCTCTGCTTCAGAGCCAGGCCAAGGGCTGCTTCCTGCTAACCTACTTTCTGCCTTCTGCAGAGCAGAGCCAGCCTGTGCTGCCAGGCAAACCCTCACACTTGGCTGCTGTCCTTCAGAACAACATCAAACACAGCCACCTGCAAAGGTTGTGCAAGCAATTAAATCCTCTGTATTTCCCAGTGGTATCCACTTTTTATTCAAAAAAAGAACCCCTCAACCTAACTACTTAAATCCCTTTAATGCTGGGAGGTGTTTACTAAATGATGGTGTTGCAGCACTATGTTTTTACTTCTTACATTAATTCTTCTTTCCTGAATTTTTCATTCTTCTTTCTTATTTTGTCTGACTCTACTTATCTGCACATCCTTTCTCTTTTGCTCAACAACAGACATAAAAGACCACACTGAAAAATTGTTGTAAGTTAATTTGATGTTGCTACACATTCAAAAAAAATCTAGATCAATTTCTATTTAAAAAGTATTTCAGCAGGTGTATGTTGTGTATTTAATGCTCTGCAAAATAGATACTAAGTTAATATAGCAAGTCAACTAAATAAATATGAATCCTTCCCATGTCAAACACTTTCTGTGTAGGACTTCTAAATTTGTTTGTTTAAAGCATAAAAGAGAGAGTATAAAATCAGTTCAGAGACAGCAGCTGGCTTGTCTTGCCACGCTGGACATTTGGAAGCCGTGTGCACTTTGCACACAATGTTTGCTGTGGCTGCTGCAGGACAATCCCCCTCCCTGCACGTCACCTCCTGCGCAGGTGGGAGGTTTACAGGACACACTTCTGACTTTCCCTGCTCACAAAACACCACAGAAGGGCCTTGCCCAGCTGGCTCTGTCCCACACCAGCTCAAAGAAACCATTGTAGCTGGAATAATGCACAGAAATCCCAGATTTGAAATATCTTTTCAATAATTCCCTACAAAACGCACATTACACATAAAGCTTCAGGGTCCTGCCCATTCACTAATTACAGAGGAGAGGATGAGTCAGAAAAGCCAAATGACCTCTTTTAGATCAGAGGAAAAGCAGAACTCAGCACAGGGACTGGAGCTCAGGAACTGCCAGAATCCCAGACCTGCTCTCAGGTGAACTGCCTGTCCCTCTCTCCCAAGGAACATTCAGTTTGGCAGAGAAACACATTTTCTGCTCCTGACAGGACCCTTCAGTTGGAGCTGGAAGATTAACAGTTTCCTGCAGTAGAAAGGTTTTCTACAACTTTATAGAGAATTACCAGTGGATGAAAGGGAGAAAAACACTTCCTGTTGAGCCCGGTGCCCCCATGGCAGCACTGGCCCAGTTGCCTGACAATGCTTTGAGATGAAGCAGATTCCTTCCAGCAATCCCTGGAACTGGGAATGCTGCCCATTTTCTGCTCACTGATTAAAGTTCACAGCACAAGCTCTGGTTGCTGAACAAACAGAGGAGCTTCATAAATCCAAGATGGTCTGATGAGAAACATATAAAAAGGGCAAATGCATTTAACCAATAAAATAAACAAGATGTGATGATTTTCAGTAGGTGGGAATCTGGAAATCTGATTCTTGCAGCACGTGGCATCAGGGCTGTGGCACATCAGAGACATGAGGTAAGAGAGAATTCCTCAGTTCCTTCTCTCCTTTACCAGCAATTTATCAACAGCACACTCACAAGTGTTCCCCTGCTGTCCTGGGATAATGGGGAGCATGATAATGTCCAGCAGAGGACAGTGCCAATGAAAAGAGCTTCCCTTGAACAGCCAAAGTGCCAGAACTGTTACTGGACCCATCAAATCTGACCAGAAGACCCAAACTAAATAGACTTTATGAAGGCATTTCTGGGAAAAAGGATCATAAAAACACCCTGCTGCCACTGGAGATCATGGGGAAACTTAAATAAATTATTGACTTTGTGTCAACAATTTGATTTCTCGTTCTTGGATTCAATAAAGATAAATCTCAAACAAAAACTGGGTCAAAATGGATGGTGAATGGGAGCAAACAAAAATTATTGTTCTGCTCCCCAGAGGAAATTAAATAAAAGTAATTTTTCACATGCACTCCACAACATGTCTACATGTCCTAGGTTGTCTTAGAGAAAGATCTTCAAAATCTTTATCACCTAAAAGCATTTTATCAGCCAATTAGAGTTCAATGAGTCTTATTCCCTTGAATTACTGCAAGCTCCATCTCAGGATCCTTTACAGTTCAAAGTAAAGCTTGTTTTCTCTCCCTTTCACTCCCTAAATTGCCACACCTGGAAAAATATATCAGTGTCATCAATAGACAAACTCCAATGTTTGTATTTTATTGTATATAAATTTGCTAAACTGTTGTATTTGAAAATGGCCTCCTCAAGCATCACCTGCTTTATAAAAAATGCACATATTCTGAGATCTCAGTTCTACACATACAGCAGGGTGAATCACAAAGGTTCTTACCCTTCACAGGCTATTTTTGCAAGTAGAAACCTCACACAGTTTTATGCTATCAAAGGTTACACCAGACTTTATATGTAAAAAAACTCACAGAATATTTTCAAAGACCACTGTTGCTCCAGGGCCTCACAGTTTGGAGCTACTGCCACAAAACTTCACAAAACTGACACCAAAGGAGTGGGTTCAGGACTCAAGGAAGGCACTGGACCATCCAGGAGCTGATGTGAGAGCTGTCCCTGGTCAGGGTGCAGCACAACCTGGCTGCTGGCTCCTGGCTGGAGACACTGTTGGAGCACGAGGAGGAACCTCAGTGTTGGCTCATCCCTGGCTTCTGCCACGGAGCCACTCAGGGCTGGGAAGGTGGTTTGTGACCTGGACATCAGCCCAGCAGCATCAAGGATGTCTTTGGCAGCAGCCAGTGCTGGAACCAGCCCCAGCCTTTCCCAGATCCCCAACTCTCCCAGGTTCCCCACCTCGAGTGGGAGGTGTCCCTGCCCATGGCAAGGGGGTGGGACCAGATGATCCCTCCCAACCCTCACCATTCCATGATTTGGACACTGTGTTGAGACAGGTAATGGGAGTGAATTTTTTCTAAAATCTAATAAAATACAAACACTGCCATGGTTTTGGCATTCCAAATTCCTTAATGTTAGTAACAGATCCTATCTTTTATGTGCTAAAGCTGCTATAGTATTGTACCAAGGAAGTTATTCTCTGGATGATAAAAGAAGCCTCTGTTCAACTTCAATAATCAATTCAATTTTATGAGAACTTTAAGTAAGTGCCAGAGCTCTATAAACGTGCTGTGTGTTCATATACAAGGGTTTGGATCTCTTTTAACTTGCCTTTGAAGAAATAAAATAAAATAGGAGTAAAAAGCATGTTGAGAGCACATTTGCTTAGACTTACTGGGTTCATTTTGTAAGTTATAGATCATTGTACTTAAGAAGATCTATTTTGTTTTTAATACTGCCTTGAACAAAACGCTATTGTTACGATTCTTCCTGGCACCAGCAGGAACTAACAGGTGACTCCAAGGTCACTCAGTGTCCTTAGCATGCATTAATCATCAGCATTCGTTTCTAGAGATTTTCATTAACTTATGAAGTTTCTAGGATCCACAGTCTATATAAGATTTTTTGGTGGTCATATCCTTACATGACCCTGTAGCTCATGAGGTCACAAGGTAGAAACCTGCTTCTCTCCAGGTTTTTAAGGTATTTTAAAAATCCAGACAGCAGGATGGATCTTAATGCCATGAGGCCACAATTCTGCAGCTCTGAGTCAAACCCACAGGTTTTCATTTATTTCCCCTAATGTTTAGTCATTAACTTCTGCTGCCACTGCTAAACCACTGCACCTTTTCTGGGAAGCAGCTTTAATGCCTTGGCAGGTAATAAATCTTGGAGAAAGCTCTGATAAAGCAATACACAAACCA